GCCCCCACCTTATTAATGACATATGCATGCAGACCAGGCCCTATATTGTAGTTAGCGACAGCATTGTTCCAACTCCCCATGACCACGGCTTCCTTACCTTATCCCATCCCCGGACCCCTCCTTAATAACAATCCATATCAACTTGCCCACCCCTAAACCCTCTCGCACTGTCTTAATACTACAAGTTTCCTGTTGGACCATTTACCACATTTAACACTCTCTTGAACCTCTATAGAGAATCTAGATTATGCGCTCGTCAATCTTTCTTCAAAAAGATGTACCCTCAATAGAAACTGAAATCAGCGTTATGACGATACCAAAGTTTTCATTTGACATGGCCAATGTAAAATAATTACAAAAGGGGTTGATGTTTAACCTGGTATCTCCTTTGTAAGCCTTAGCAGTTGGCTCTAGCTTTCATAATTAGTCCTTAATCCATACATCCAAACATAATTCATGTCCACTGGGGTTTTTCGAACTAAACTCTATATATTTGCTTTATATCATATTTAATCGTCTTACCTAAACAATCTGCACTGATGGGAAATTCAGTCATGCTGCTATAGGAATAACTTTAAAATCATCCCCAGCTCTAAAAGTTAAGAAGAGGATGAAAATGAAGGTCCCATAATTTAAATCATTTTAATTAATTATTTTTTTATCTAAGGTTTTTGGTTGAGATGAAAAATTAGTTTCATGAGCGGGATTCGAACCCAAAACCTTCGGCCAAGTCGCCGCTGCTCTAACCAATTGAGCTACCGTGAAGTTGTCCCCTTCGGAAACCAACTCCTTATCTCAGCTCATACCTACAAAAACAGGGAAAATTCGAACGTATGTAGGTTGAGATGAGGGGTTGGTGCCCGAGGGGATCACGACACCTCAAGTGGTTAGACCAGGGCGCATAAACCGAAGGCCGTGGGTTCGAATCCAGCTCGTGACACTAATTTTTCATATCAACCAAAAACCTTAGATAAAAATAGTAATTAATTGGAATAATTAATATATAACATGTAAGCAGGTTGGTCTAATCAACTGAAAATGAAGATAACTAAACGTTCGTCCATGTTACATTTACACTCCGAAGCATAACTCCTCTCACAATAACACTAAGCAAATATGGATTCATTTAAATCATTTTATTTTTAGTTGATATACAGGAGTACTGCAGGTCAGTGAGCTCGTACCAATGCTCCATACCCTTTACACTGTAGATATTACCATTACACACTCTCCATGCATCTTTTGCCGATGACACAACTGTAGTATCCAATGATCCCGATCCTGCGGTTTCTTCGGAGATATGCCAAAACATATCGCATGTAAGCAGGTTGGTGTAGTCAACTGAAAATGAAGATAACTACACGTTCTTCCATGTCACATTTACATTCCGAAGCATATCTCCTCTCATAATATACTACAACACTGTTCCTTTCCCCAAATCCGCCTGAGTACGTTATCTAGGGTTCCACCTTGATTCACGCTTAACACGGAATTAGCATATACGACTACAACTACCTAAAAGACAGTCTACTCTACAAACTTATAGGACGACAATTCAGACTATCGACCAAAATCATACTTACTTCCTACAAAACACTAATACAACCGATTTGGACATGCGAAATAGAGCTGGGGGGAAAACGCTAAACCTTCTATAATATCCAACGTCTCCAAACCAATGACCTCTTTCAATCTAAATCCCTCAGATCAAATATAAATATGCGTGTCAAATTCTACCCTCCACAGCAACCTTAATATTTCATTTATCCACAAATTTATTGCTCAAAAAATTACCTAGTTCACTCATCACTCAAATAATCTTGCCCAAACCTTTTCCAATAGAAGAGGCGTTTTAAGAAGAAATGGCCCCGCGACCTGCTTTCTGAGGAGCTCGTAGTAACTTTTCATTAGTGAAGTGAAATGGGAGAATAATATTGATTATTTGCTCCTCTCAATATAAATATGTAAATAGTTGTAAATATGTCTACACATTCTCAAATTACATGTTGTAATCAGAAATAGCAGATTGTAATAAAATGTTTTAGTCATTCATTCGATTTAAAAAAACATTTGTATAACGGTCTCATTCAGGGAATTATCAAAACCCTTGAAAAATTTGAACAGAATGTACAATGTGCGTTACCTTTACACTGTACAGACGAGGAGTAGGACATCCGTTGTCGTTCCTGAAGAGAGAGCTGAAAAGAAAGTGTCGGATGATGCACAGCGGTCGAATAAACAACGGCTGAGTTCCGGCATTTATAAATCAGCTTTTTTTTCAGTTTGTCCCAAAGTTTACCCGGATCATTGTGTGGCCAAGTTTCATGGGGACATTAGCGTCAATGCTAACAATGTGAACCGCACGATAAGAATCGTGTCCGCTGATATGGGGTTGAATTTTTGTCCTTTTCTTACCCACGCTCTGGCCCAACGGGTAAAATTAGCTTCGTGGGACAGTGATAAATGCGATAGCTGGAAAAGATTGGCTTTTGTCTTTCCAACGCCACCTCCTCGGCTGTGGGAATGCCATACCAAAATCTTTTGGTCGGATCGACTACAGATTTGTTTAAAACGAACCGATGATACGAACCTAGTTTTATGTGACTATTTCAATTTTCCATTCATTAAAGTTTTCACATACCTATACTCGAAGGTTGGACACATACATGGATTATTATACTTATGTCTCCTTATAGGCGGTTTGGGTCTGTTAGCGTTTCGGCTTCTCACCATCTTCAGTGTTGTATTCTGTGTGATTTCATTTATGTTCTTTTATACGTCTTGAAATAATTCAAACTTGCTGTTTTGTTCTTTGTATTTTATTTTTTTCTAGTACTCTGTCCGATGTATTTTCTCAGCATTTGCAAGTTATTTTTGTTTAATGGGTAATTACTTAAGAGATTTATATGCTTGATTTCCTAAGTATATTAGTTTACCAGTTTTTTTACCTATGTGAACATGAACCATTCAGTGTTTGTTTTTATGTGTATTCTGTTTACTATTGTTGATTGTTTTCCTTCACCAAATCATGCAGCACTGAAAACTATCTCTCCCGAATCATATTTCCACAATCTCTGAAATGAAGTTCGAAGCCTCCAAATAAATAGAACTTTTATATGCAAATAATTAAGTTAATCTACCTCGAAAGACTGCAGAAATTCGATGAGTATTCGCCTTCTAGGTTTCATACAGTTAGGATATACAGTGCTCTCTCCCTAATCCGTACATCCGTACTCGTAACATTCCAGGAGTCCGATCAATCAAAAATTTATGAAGTGAGAATTTTAAAGAAAAAATGATACATTATTTGGGGGCAGAAGGGAGAAAGAGAGAGAGAAAAATATTGAGTGAGAGATAGTGAACGAGCTATGTGTTCTCAGTCTCTCAATACTCTTTCTCTCCCTAACTCCCTCCCTCTCTCACACTCTCTTCCTTGTAGTTCTTTTTGAAATATACTAGATTACAAGAATTTTGAAGTTTGAAGTCTAAGGTAGGATTTTAATATCAAGGCCATCTCTTTGGGAAAGAGGGTCAAATTGGACGGGGAAGGTCGTACTTGGCTAATAGGGCGTTAATGCGGCCGTTTGCGTAGCCGGCCGAGGGCCTAGCTCGAGCAGGGGCAGCATAAATCCGGCGACAGCACATAATCCACTGTGGCCCACTCCCTCACCCTCCTCAGACCGTTGTTATTAGCCTTTCTTAATTAAGACTTCTCATAAATACCGCCTCACCTCTTCACTATTTACTCCAGAAAGATTGTTTTTTATCGCGGGGCCGGATCCCCTTTTCCGAAGGGGGATTTCGGTTCCTCCGCAACAGCATTAACATCGTTACGAGAAAATTCATCGATTTTTTCCTTTATATCGCCTTTACGATTTCCACTTTGAAACATTAAATAACGCAACAGGACTCGAGGAACAAATTACTATTTATTTTTACATCCATTCATAAATCGATGTAACTTAACCAATCGATTACCAATGTTTGCAGTGGAACATTTAAATTAGAAAACCACGTGCCAATAACGTTTAGGTAATTGCGATATAAGCAGAAATTAATTAATTATTATGAGGCATCTGATGTTATTACATGCTACGTATATAATCAATTTTCAATTTATTCAACTTAATTAATCTAAAATAATTGTGGAGAATTGCTCTTGGGGTCTGCGGAGAATGAACCTGCTGTTTGGTAGGTGACCTGCAAGTTCGTCACCTCGCAGACTCTATGAAAAAAAATTCAGCAGGAACTATAGTATTTTAAAGATTAGCTGAATTTATACCCATCGCCAACCTTCTTCTCTTTTTCTTTCCCTCTCTTTCTAGCGTTTTCTTCCTTCTAATTTCTTTTTATATTTCCCCAGGCAAGTTATTGATGTTATATGATATGACGGTAATCGACTCTCTCTTTCGTTTAACCTATTGATAGCTTTTCTGTACCTCCGGGCCTCGTCCGTTGTGAATAAAGTAAAACAAATAACAAACACATGTACAAACACATAATAAATAAAATATAATGAACTGGTTAGCATTCACTCTACCCAGAGTACTCGATATTCCTCAGGGTAATTGGAGGTAAGCTTCCACATTCACGCTAATAAATTGCATATAAACGCCACACTGGTAGACGATATTCCTGGGTTTCTTTTGTTCAAGCGAATTATCCATTAATTTTTATTGTATTAGGATCGGTCTTTATAAATCCGCTAGATGTACAGAGTGAGTAGGGCCGTGTGGTCTCATCGCTACTTTAGCTGCATGGTTATACCACTATGCCCGAGAACCTAGCCTGCCAGGGCGACCTTTTTCTCAGTTACGTCAATCCCTTCCAGTTGTGAGTATATTGTCCTGTTCAATGAGCCTGCGGGTACTCTTCCCCTGAGTTTTTGTATCGCGCTCAGGGAGTCTGTGCATATTATGAATGTATTTTCTTGTTTTCTTTCAACAATACCTAGCGCGAAGAATATGACGTTCAGTTTTGCTGACAGGGGAAGAAACAGTGAACTCACTTCTGCGGTACATATACTAAAATAGGAACGATACAGAGAATATTAGTATGGCCCCTGCGCAATGAAAACCCCCAAAATCATGAAGCGTTCCACATTTCTCCGCCAAAGAAGGTTGTAGCCTCGGCAATAAGCATGTCCGGTTTGGTCGGCGTACGTTGACAAAACGCGAGTTCAAATGATTTTGTTGAGGTCATCACTTGAAACACCAAATTTTCAAAGTTGGATGAGACTTTTGTTTATAATTACGCCCCGGTCCGAGTTAGTAATTGGAAACCCACATTAATTAAAGAAAGGTTAACGGATATTGTAAAACCTGGTGAAATTCTAATTAACGGCAATACTTTTCAATTATGATTCTCAGGTTTGCGTTTGGAGGGCGTTCAAAGGAAAACTGAAATTGTGGGCCCGCATCCACCTACCCAATATTTCTTCATCTTACACCCTCTCTCGGCGAGACTCATTTCTAATTTCCACCCCTTATACTTTCTGTTAAAATGTTTTCTCTTGAATCTCAAGTGAAATTAAAATTCTCAGGGTGCCTTGAAACGCTCCCCTCTTCCCCTTCGACGCAACCCCTTTTTAAAATAAGGGTCTTAACCCCTGAGGGAACCCCTCCTCCGTGTGTGTTAACCCTTCTTCTTCTTCTTCTTCTACATAACTTTTAATACGACCCCTCTACTCGAGGCTAATTCTTAATTCCTTGCATCGCTTCACCCTCACCCTCCACCCACGTCTTTCCTCCTACTGGTGATTAAAAACTCACCCTTTCTCCTCTTCCGCTTTCCCTCTCGCTCGCGAAATTTCACTCGGTGAACAAATTATAACGGAATTAAGAGTCTGTAGATGAACATTAGGAAAATTGTCAGTTAAATTGCGCTTCGCGTAAAATGTTACTAAACCCCATTAAAAACCTTTCTTCCGTTTTATTATTTTTTTTCCTCTCAAAAGGGAGTAATCGCGTTAAATCATTATTTTTCTTTTCTTATTCCTTCACTATAAAATTCTATTATTTACGTATTATTAGTGTGTTTTTTTAATTCTTTAATTTTCTTAAAGAATCTTCTTCTTTAATTTCTTCTTAAGTTCTTTAGTTTAAAAAAATTTAAATTTCTTTCTATCAGTATCACACCTGTTATAAGACTAATGTTGATATACGGGAGGTGGACCAAGAGTTTGCAGGATAAGGCGATCAAGCTATTAAGGGGCACACAAAAACAAGATTGCCTCAGTGTCACTGGAGCCAACTATATAGCCTACTGCGGCCTTGGTAAATGTTGAACCTTGCACCACTTACTTCTATTCTAATCCAAGGAGAAGCCAGAGCTCCGTCTCATAAATCCAACTGTCTTCAAGGATAGGCCATATCAACGAACAATGGAAAATAAGAGAGGAGATAGAAACAGATGCCATACTATTCCAAAATACAACTTCACCAATAAGATACTCATACCAGAAAGGGAAGAGTGGACGAAATGAAAACCTATGAAGGCCAATTCCTACTGGTATCCTCAAAAACGTATAAAAACACAGGATGAATCCGAAGACCGAACTAACTTCAAACGTTACAGTTTTCAAGTCTGAAATTATAGCAATTGAACACTGCGCCAGAGAAATGAAAAGACTAGAAACACATTTCAGAAATGGCTATTTTCTCTGACAGTCAGGTGGCACTTATGGCTGTATCCTCGTGCGAGGCAAAAACAAAAAGCGTGTGGAAATTATAGAATCCCTCGCAGAAGTCAGTGGCACCAATGACTTGTCCCTGGGGATTCCGGACAGAATAATGAGCGGATGAACTTTTGGCCATAAAAAAGAGCCAATATGAGCCAAATCCAAAAATATATCTTTAATGAATCCAAAACATGGTGGAACAATACCCCAGCCGTGAGGCACGGAAAGGAAGGTAACCACAGCAGAACCAGGATTGACTTTATATTGGCTTCTTTTTTTGGCCAACATGACATACCAAATGCCCAGTGACTCATGACAGGGCACTGCCGCCTAAGAAGGCGCATGCACCGGATAGAATTACGGACAGAAGAGAAAGAAGATGTAAAGGACAAAAGCGTATGGAATTGTATGCAATCCCTGTCAGAATTCAGTTACACCATTGACCTGACCCTGACATGGGTCACTGGACATTTGGTATGTCATGTTGGCCAAAAAAAGGAGCCAATATAAATTATCTAGGTCCTTTCCCCTATTGTGTCCTAGCACCTTTCCACGAAAAAGCATATTTCCATTAATGAGTCCAAAACGTGGTATAACAATACTCCAGGCATGAGAAACGTGAAGAGATTCATAGAAGGGCCAACCGCTAGACTTGCAACGGAATTACTGGAAGATAACTACTACAGAACCGGATAGGAGTAAGGACAGAAACCCTGTGTACATACTGCCAGGAAGAGGAGGAACCCGCGGAGCAATTTTATGTTTTGGTGAGGGTCCAAGTAAGTAGATTCTTGCAACTATGAGAGGAAAAGCTGCAAGCAAGATCTTACACTAAGGAGCCGCTGGCAAGACAATGGAGCTTGATTAACAACCTGAAGCAAGCCAGTCATTTATAAAATTAGAGGAGCGCAATAGATCTACTCAGGTCGGAGTTGCAGAAGGCCTTGTGGCCACCTCTTTTATCACTATCACAATCTCTATCAGTAATCGCGGTACAATATTAGAAATTAACTTAATTATTAACGTTTGTAACTGTTTTTATTAAATTTGATCTTTGAACCCCTTCATATTCAAACGGGTCAATTCTTTACTAGTTTGATAAACATTATGCATAAATGTTTATCTTACCTATCTCTTTTTACCTAATTGTACTTTAAAGGTTCCTTTTAATTTATCTAGGTTCCGAATAATTTTGCTTTAATCTAATGGCTAATTCGAGAAAGGTGGATTTGGTGTTTACAAGTGGGTTGGTTCCATGGCACCCACCGCAACCCTTCAACCCCTCCTTATAACAAACATTACGTCACTAATTATCGCCCTCCGACGTCAGGAATTATCAAGAAATGGACCTTAACATCTCGCTTGTCTTTCTATTATTTCCTTAGTTGCGTAAACATTTTATATAACTATAATGCATATTCTATATTATATTATTTGTTGTCAGATGTATACTTCACATGGTAAGAATTTACATTTTTCATTTTAGCGGTACCTAATTACAGCGCAAAAATTGATTTAAAATGGAACATGGGGTTGGAGCAATAATGAAAGGCTCAAATTTTTACGTAGAGAAACCTCTAGGCTCCACTACATCAATTTTCAAGCAGAGATCCTTTCAATAGCACTTTGTGCACTACAAATACTTAAAACCAACGTGGACTGAAGGCTTTAGACCTCTTCACATTCACTGAAAGCAGTCAGAAATGAGGGAATTGAAGACTAAGAACAGATTGACAAACTATAACAAGAAGAACCAGCCTTCACACCCTTGTGGCTTCGTTTCAGTAGTTGAATTTGTAGTACAATTACGTTGTACATGGGTCCCTGGAACTCGGGTCATAGAGGCGACGAAAAGGCCAAAGACGGGGCGAACATGGACTCTCTGGGCCCTGAGCCCTTTAGCCGTTTAGCATCCTCCCACAAAACGGGATACATCTTAAAATAGATACTGAAGCAGTTCAAAAACTGGAGGAACAATACCACAGGTATGGGGCACGCGAAGAGATTCATAGAAGGACCATCCAAAACTTACAACAGCATTATTGGAAGGCAACAGCAACCGAACCACTATCTTGGTTGGACTCCTGACATGACATTGCCACTTAAGATAACAATGCACCGGATAGGAGTGCACAGAAGAGACACTGCGCAGATACTGCCAGGAAGAGGAGGAGACCGCAGAACATATTTTATGTTTCTCTGAAGGTCTATGTAGGTGCAGGTTCTTGAAACTAGGACAGGAAAAAAATGCAAACAAGTTCCTACACTAAAGAGCACTGGCAAACCTATGGAGGCTGATTAACAACCTGAAGTTGGCCAGTGAGTTATAAAAAATATATAACAATAGATCTATTGAGGTCGGGGTGCAGAAGGCTTTGTGTCCACCTCTTTTACCCTTTCCCTGCGTTGCCCATCCCAAAACACTACCTCCTACGGACAAATATGCATCCACAGTTGTAAAGAAGCCCATTCTGTCAGCAGTGCCATGTCAAGAATATTGGCAGGATTCCAAGTTTTTTTGCCGGCTTCTTTTGATTTATTGTGTTGTTTCTTTCTTTCCAAAATTTGCTATAAGGTTCTTGGATTGTTTATGTCCAATGAGTGAATTCCACTGTTTCTTCATTTTTAGTTTGTCCTTTTTTTATATCCACTGAAAGTGTGAATTCCTATGCCACAGATGGACTTATTACGAACAACCCGCGCGCTGGCAGTAGGACATCTCTCAAGTGGGAACGGCCTGGCAGGCCAATTGGACTCACATAAGCAGATTTGTTTATTTCATTTTCTTTACACCTTTTGGGAAAGGTTTTTTGTTTGGTTGAAGAAGCTTGGCGTTAGCCGCAATAGACTCAGCACCTATCTGCGGTATAGCAGCTCCCACAGTCCTGGGCCCCTGCAAAGAGTGACTTTATTTTGCATACCTAATCTAATAATCCCAATATTTAGTTTAGTTTTGCAATTCAGCACCATCTGTACTAATGATGTTGAACTTAGAGCTTTGATGGCTGCTTGGCTCTCTAACCTGATAGCTATATTCTTGTTTTTATACACTTTGTTCAAATTGAACTAGTTACATCCCTCAACTACATCGGCTTCAGCCTGGAAACTGCTTGTATTTTTTCTCGTAGGTTGTGAGTATTTGGTTCCAGGATCGATACTCTTGGCCCCCGTACCTGACTGACATCCGTCAGTGTACCAGCAGATGGTTCCGTTGTCGACTGTGGGTTTTTTCTATGTTTCACGTTTATTTAATTATTTTTTACTAAAGCCTAGGGCAATGTTCCTCCTCATGTATTAACTACAAAATGGAACTTTCTTAGGTATGCAAAATATTGAAGGGTCCAGTCCACAAGAGAGATTCTAGGACGAATGGAAGAAAGGGTTATAATCTCAGGAAAACAAACATACTTGGTTAGAATTCATATTTT